GCCTTCTCTTTCAAAGCTAATGAAGATTTTTGTTACAGATTACTGAGAAATGTCTTCAGCCAATTCTTCAACTGCAACATCTTGAAGAGCTAGTTCTTGAGGAATGCCATGGAATTGATGATGAAGGCCTTGCAGCCTTTGAACGTTACTGCAAGAGAAACTCATTGAAGGTACATTCCTTAATTTGGCCGTTTCCTTTGTTGGGAAAACATTTTTCTGCAGCTTCAATGTAATTACTATTGGATATAAGTGCAAATTTGTTGGCAGTTGCTTAATCTGACTCGCTGTCAAAGTATCAGTCATTCTGGTTTGTCTTCTTTGATTAATGGCTCTGAAGATCTTCAACAGCTCATCTTATCATATGGCTCTTCAGTAAGTGAATTTAGTTGTATTTTGGTGATAATCTGAGATTATTGTGCTTATCTGATTATGTTCTTGCCTTAGATCACAACGGATATGGCAAAATGTCTGCATAATTTTTCTGGTTTGCAATCATTAAAATTGGATTGTTGTTCACTTACGACTTCTGGGGTAAGAGCCATTGCTAATTGGCGTGCATCACTTAAGGAGCTAAGCTTAAGCAAGTGTGCAGGGGTGACTGATGAGTGTGTCTCCACCCTTGTGCAAAAACACAATCAGTTGAGGAAATTAGACATCACTTGCTGCCGCAAGATAACTTATGCATCCATTAACAGCATTACAAGTTCATGTTCTTCCCTTGTTTCGCTTAAGATGGAATCTTGTAGCCTGGTTCCTAGAGAGGCTTATGTATTGATAGGAAAACACTGTCCATACTTGGAGGAACTTGACGTCACTGACAACGAGATCGACAATGAAGGTTGTACAGGGCTGTTAGCTCCTGTTTTACATTACATATTCCATGATTCTTTTAAGTTTTTAACATTAATGTTGCTTCTTTTGTTTAGGCTTGAAGTCTATCTCCAAATGTTCAAGGCTTAGTGTTCTGAAGCTGGGGATTTGCTTGAATATAAACGATGATGGTCTATCCCACATTGCGAATGGCTGTCCAAAAATCAAAGAGCTTGATTTATATAGGTATGATGTCTGTTTATTTGTGTGAGATCCCACGTCAATTGGAGAAGGTAACGAAACATTCCTTATAAGGGTGTGGAAACCTCTCTTTAGCATACGCGTTTTAAAACCAAGAGGTTAACGGCATACATAACGGGCCAAAGCGAACAATATTTGTTAGCAATGGGCTTGAGCTATTACAAATGGTATTGGAGCCAGACATCGGGTGGCATGCCAACGATGACGCTGGCCCCCAAAAGGGGTGGATTGT